CCCCCCCCCAGATAAATCCCCAGAAGGCCAGGCCACTGGGTATGTGCGGCTATCTATGGTGCCCACTGCCTTCTTCCTTCAGCACTGCCTAGAAAAGCACGGACAGTTCAGAGGATGCCACAGATGTCTGGGCCTTGCGGGAGACACTGTCAGTCCCTCCCCATCTCTTGGACATTCTGCCTGTAGCTTCTAGCCCCAGGGTCCAGGGCAAGAGGGCAGGAAACCCTGCTATTTGTAGCAAGAGAATGAGCTTTGGTTCATCTTCCCCACATAGTCGGGGGCAGTAACAAGACAAGCTCATTTCAGAAGAGGGAACTGTAGAGGGAGCATCCTTCTGGTTCCTTCCCCGTCACAGGAAAGACCAGGGATCCACGTCTTAACCCCTTTCTGTTGAAGAGGGGGCTCCGACCATCAGTGGTTCTCCATGGTTCTCGTTAACACAGGTGGGGTGAAGGGGAAGCTCACTGGCCCTTCCCAGGCTCCATCCAGGACCCGGTGTGACTTCTGCCAGGTGCCCTGTCCTGGCCCACGGCTTCGTCTAGCAGCTCTGTGCCGATGCGTCCCCATTTATGTCTCCCACCCAGACCTCTTTCCCCACCCCCGGTCACAGCTACATACTGGTGCCTCTGCCCAGGCAGCCTGTGCTCGAAGCCAATCTTTGCCCAAATTCTGCTCTAGTACCTGTTACCTGTCCCTTTGCCCTTTCGTGAGGTTACCTAAGCCAGAATCTTGGGAGGCAGTCTTTCTCCCTCACCCTTAACCTCATGTCCAAGCGGTGAGTAGACCCTGTCCTTTTTACCCCTTAACATCTCTCAGATCCGTCTTTCTTTCTCTTCCCCCTACTGCCGCTGCTGCCTCAGTTGATACTTCTTCAAGATACACCTGTTGCTGATCTGTTGCCAGACCCTTCTACCTGCCTCCTACCTGTTCTTGCCCGGGGTGTCTTGCTCTAGTCCAGCCCAACTCTGGGCCCGAGTCACCTTTCTAAAGTGCAACTCTGGTCGCGCCACTCTGCTTTTTACAGCCGTCCCAACCTCCCCGTCACCGCCAGGGTTAAGTCCTGATACCTTGGGAGGCTCCCTAACCCAGTGGGTCAGGCCCCACCTCCCTCCCTGGCCCTCTCTGCCTCCACCACCCCCATGTACCTGGGCTCCAGTTGCACAAACCACTGGGGCTGCTCCAAACTCACCCCGCTCTTCCTTTGCCTCCATGTCTTTGCATGTACTGTTCCCCCCGCGCCTGGCACGCCCTTTCCCTCGGTGTGCCTAGTGGTCTTCCACGTATCCCTGAAGACTCAGTTGGGATATTGCCTCTTCCAGGAAGTCTGTGCTCTGGTGCCCCTTATTCACGCCTCCATCACAGCACTCCCTCCTGGGCTGTGGCAGATATCTGTCTCCACCACTGGGTCTGCTGTGTCCCCAGCAACTCGCATAGTGCCTGGCACGGGGTAGGAGCTCCATAAATAATGCGCGAGGTGATGTGTGTGGCTCTCAGGCTGAGAGAAGACTTTATTAGCTGGGGGAGAGGGGCTCTGGGAGCGTCTGGCCTGGGGCGTCAGTGCACAGAGGACCTAGCAGGTGCCCCGCAGCAGCCTGTCTATAGCGGGGCCCTCCCAGATGCCAAGCTGATGTTTCCGTGTCTGGAGCAATACCAAGTGGGAGGCAGCGCTACCTGTTCAGCCTGCAGACCCTCAGAGGCTCAGGCGATGGCTCCAAAGGTAGAGCCTTCAGACATCTGAGAGCCTTGTTCTCAAAGGGGTGCAAGAGAGAGTGTTTAGCCTGTGGTCTTGAATTTCAGTGAATTACCTCCTTCTCCTCCCTCTTACCATCCCTTCCAGTCTTCACCCAGCCCTAGTCTCAGGGGCTACAGCTTTCCATGCAGTGGAGTGAAAGCCAAGTAGATCCCATTTTTCTTGGGTTTGCCCTTGGACCCCCTACCGTGTGGCTGAGACTGGTGATTTGGGGGTCTGTGTTGACCTCTTGTTCAAGTCCTGGCCCTAGGGAGCAGGGGGAGGAGAGGGCCACCTTGTCGTGAACTCTGTCCCCCGCTTGATGTGCATACATGCGCAGCATGGAAAGCACGTGGCAGCACGAAGTCTTGCTCCTAACACCTGCCCAAATGTATCATTCTGCACTCGTTTCCTGGAGACTCCCTCCAGAATCAGAACCACTGACCACCGTGTCCTATAGGTGTAAGCTTTCCTCTCCTTTTTACCCTCAATGTCCATACCATAGACCTCAGCCCTTGCTGACCATTATCTCCCTGTTTGACAATTGGGCAGGTAGACGTGTCATGGCAGGCTGAGCGTATAAGTAGGAGCCTGGAGGCCTGGAGAAGACCTTGAACTCCTTATGCCATCACATGCCCCAAACTGCTGCTCTTGCTTGCTGGCCTGCCTTCCCTCTCTCAGTCTCTCTGTCTCTGTTTCTTTGTCTCTCTCCTCCTCACTCTCCATTACACACACACACACACACACACACACACAGTAGGAATCAGGAGTGAGACAAAATGCCACCTCCAACCATGTAGACAAAGGGCACCAGGCAGGGGTCCACATGGGTTTTTATTTTGTTGCTCAAGTTCTCCTGGAAGGATGTTCCCTAACCTCCCTCACAGCAGCTGGCAAAGCCTCAGGATGCCAGGCCTTGGACAGGGTTTCCAATTTGCCTCTTCTCAACTTAATTAGAAACAGCAAACACATCTCCTTTGGCCTAACTCAGATCTTTTCTTCTGCATTGGAAGGCTGTTTTCCCCTTAAGTTCACTCTCCACAGTGTAAATTGATTAGCTTCCTAAGAGGCGTGTGATGAAAAGCTATGCCCTTGGGAAAAGCCACGCTGTAGAAGCAGATATGGTACCGCTAGTTCAAGAATAGGTGGCATGTGCCCTTCTTCCTGTTACCAGACCAGACACCTGAAAACTCACCTGTGCCTTCCAGGCAGGTGGACACAGACACATTGGTGGTATTTAAACACGGCACGCTGGCCACTTCAGGCGTCGCCGCAACCTTCGGGAGGATGCACTAATCGGCACCAATTTGGAGGCCTCCGTTTCCCCACCCACCAGCCCCCACCCCCGTGGGCTTTGTTGGGGTAGGTCAAGGATGACGAGTTTGCTGCCGGTCTTCTAGGAGCTATGGAAGATCTCCTATTCCCTTCAGATTTTAATCTCCGTGCTGGGCACTCCTTAAAGCGTATCCCCCAGATCCCCCAGACTTATCACACCTCAGGGATCCTCTGGGCTGTGTGTTGATCGCGTGTCCCTCAGACCCTGGGGGTGTTTGGTGGAGGTGT